AAATTGCTGGGCACTAAAAGTAAAACAACTTCTTTATTCATATGGTTTTGGCCATGTTTGGGATAGTCAGGGAGTAAATCATATTGGATTTATTGATAACTTTACAATTAGATGTATTGATATAGATAACCAACAGTGGTCTAGTAGTCTACGAACGTACTCAAAACTTTCTTTTTATTCTTGTATTATGCAATATAATGTATTTGAAAATTATCCAGATTGTATTTCAATAAGTGCCTATCGTATTGCTTTGAGTAAATTTAGATGTTCTGGTCATACTTTGCTAATTGAAAATGGAAGTACATTATACCAAGAGCTAAGAGACTATGTCCATTTTGTGCAAGACCTGAAGTGGAATCTGAATATCATATTTGTTTACAATGTCCATGCTATGATAGTTTGAGACGTAATGCTTTACCTTATTACTTTTACACAAATGTAACTTTTGATGAATTTGTAACACTCTGGACATCTAAAACCCCATTAATTGTTTAGCTAAATTTATATTTCTTGTTTTTAAAAAGCGCAATAACTTTCTCATTGGCGCTGAAATTGTCTAACTCTGATATCATGCTGAAATATAGCTCTCTCTCTCTCTCTCTCTCTCTCTCTCTCTCTCTCTCTCTCTCTCTCTCTCTCTCTCTCTCTCTCTCTCTCTCTCTCTCTCTCTCTCTCTCTCTCTCTCTCTCTCTCTCTCTCTCCCGGGTTCGATTCCCCAGCATAAGACGGCGTAAAACCATACCCACTCACTCCCTGTGTACTCCCCGTGCCAGAAGCATGCAATGTGTCTTATGACAAAGTACCACAGCAGCTGTAGCCATCAACCATATAACGGACTGGAATCACAATTAGTACGTCTAGCATTGCAAGGGATTAATAACAGTATGCCGGTTTCATAAGGTATTTGTTGTAAAGCATCGTGACATAAAGACGTATTGCAAATATCGAGGAATAAAGATACCGCTGGTCAAAGAATGAGGTAGGAGACTTAATCGGACGTTCTTATGACAGCCCGTTGTCTTTCGAATATTTACAAATTTGGAAATCATGATACGATAGAATACCAAGATATGGCTAAAATTAGTGTTCTGTTCTGTTTAACGCCGCACTCCTCCTTGTTCCATCAATGAGGCGGCGGTCTGTAAATAATCGAGTCGAAACAACACAATCCAGTGATTCACATGGACACCTGTCTACGCAATTAACATTCAATCAACCAATTCACTGAGCATGATCCCGATCCATTTAGTCTCCTCTGAGACCAACAGGTTGATGAGGACCCTTATTCTTACCCCGATTCCCCACGGGTGTTAAATGCAAAGTGGTGCAACTTTATGGAAAAATAAAACCATGAACAGGCCCGCTACCCAGCATCGATCTACGCAATTGGGATACGATGACATACACCAACCAAGGCAGGCTCGCTGATCGATGCGTATGATATCAATCACTGGATTGTCTGGTCCACACTCGATTATTTACAGACCGCAATAGTATCTGTATGTGTTCCCCCTAGCCTTATACCAGCAATGACTACGGTAAAAACAAAGCATTCTAGCATGAGTACTCTCATTTGTACTCACTACAGTTGGAGCCCTGTTCCTTGAATGAATGGTTGTGGCCATCATGTATTGTGGCACGTACTGTTAAAACATACAAACACGTGTATTTCTTATTTGATGCATGTAATTTATACCCATTTCCAAAGGGAAAAAACACTCCAAAAAGTATGAAATGTTCGAAAACGATTTGTAATATATATATCTTTGAGTTTTCGAACATTTCATACTTTAGGGAGTGCGTTACTTTTGGAATTGAGTAACATTATATCACAATCATTCTCAATCACTGATTTCAGCTTTTACACAAACCCATGTGGGGATTCCTGACTGTTTAACCACGATTTGCAGCCATGATATGGTTTGAATATTGTTAACACGCCACACCACGCCAGGCCACACACATGTCCTGGTTTGTGTCTGTTGGGTAACGACATATGCATACCCGGATCCTTCACTGAAATCCCCGACAATGTATTCATAAACTGCGTTATGTAAAGCTCCCGCAGCTACGACTGATGCACGCCATGACCAGGAAGGCATGATGATGTATTTGGCTTATTATTGTTTTTGTTCTCCCATTCTTAGATCACCTGTCTGAAAGTCGATGAGCTTATGTCACAGGCTGGTTGTCCGTCTTCTCTAAGGAAATCACAGGAACAATGAAGCTGAAACTTGCAGCTAGCATGCTTCTTCCGACCGATGATAACACCTGAATATCACAGAGATTTCAATCCAGTTTTGGATATGGCCTCCACAAAAGCAATATTCGAAATTCCTTTTATGGCCAGTTCACAACCATTTCTTTCCAAAACGTTATCAAATTTGTGTCGTTAGTAGCAGGACAAGTAGTATGTCTTCCGTGTTTGCGACATGTTTACTATTGACTTTGATTTGACGTTAAAGGCTTCAGCAAATCTTTCAAAATATTTTTTTGAAGACATGTGGGGATTTTTCCAAATTGGACGCATAACTGATAGAAATGATATTTTGATTTGTAGCATGTTTCCGTGTTTTTTTTGGCGGTGAATATTTTTTCTTGCCTTTGCATGCATTTGTGACGGGTGCCACGCATGGGACAAGGTACACTCAGCTATTAAGATATAGTTGGAATAGTCCAATGGACTGCTTTCAGTAAATAAAACATGATTAGGGAAAGGATTTTGTGGCTTTTAAGTCAAATATATTCTAGGCTCTGTTATCTGCTTGACTGAGGAAAGCTGAAATCTGAATGTTCCTTTTAATGGGGACATCAGATGTTTGTGCAGAATTGGGAATTTATCTTTATTTTTAAGAAATTTCATCAAATGTGTATTCTGAAGACAAACAAGGCCTAGAAAGCTGAAACGTTGTGTGAAATGATAATGGCTATGTGTGGACCTTCATTTCATTAGGGATGACCGCTCAATGTTTATTTACGAAAGTCGCTGTTTTATACACTTTCCTATCATATATGCGAGTCAAGTACATTGATGCAAGCGACAGTACTTGCACATATAAAGGCATACCGTTGTTTTATGTTTATGAGAGATACTTCCTCATTCCAAATAGACAGCCACTCAAAACGTTGGAATCCATCTGCTCTGCTTCAATCCTTACTTGACATCAAACAGTTCGGGTTTCAAGCTAGAATAGAATAAACATACACATACTGCGTTTCAATACAGAGGTAAATTGTATGTTACCTGTAGATTTGATTATATTATTTTTTACATGGAAGCTTTCTTAAACAAGGTATTAAACTGGTGTATTTATTGTCGTCGGGAATTGGAAGATGAAAGAACCAATTTTGAAAAGTTTTGTTTGAATTGTTTGAAGTGACGATACGATCACTGACGTAAAGGTAATTAAGTATAATGGACGTTTTAGTGTACCATCTAGACATAACCGCAACAGGGAAGTTTCTTGTCCCAGATCACGTCAAGGGTGGCCTGTATCGACACAGAGGTGCATTGTGTGTATTGCAACATCAATACGTTGTCAGATTTGATATTTTAAGCCATTCATGAATGTGTACAAAATGTACAGGTACTTGGTACTAAGACCATTAATACGACTCATACTGATTTTTAGGTCTTTTGACTAATAGAGGGGCGGTCGGGTAGCCTAGTGGTTAAAGCGTTCGCTCGTCACGCCGAAGGCCCGGGTTCGATTCCCGACATGGGTACAATGTGTTAAGCCCATTTCTGGTGTGCCCCGCCGTGATATTGCTGGAATATTGCTAAAAAAAGGGCGTAAAACCATACTCACTCACTCACTCACTCACTCACTTTGACTAATAGATACTATTAGTATGCAGGATTTAAAAACATATTGACAGACGAAGCTAATAACCCAACAAAAATACTTAAAAACAGTTGAAAGCCAGCTCAGTTAGAAATAACATATAACACTTGTCATTCATCAAGTGTTAGTAAATTGCACGTGTGTTTAATAATATTCACTTATGAATCATGCAATCGATTGTTTCACATATTATCAATTCCAACTTCCAATGTGAAATAGTGTAGAAAACATCCAATATATTTTCATTTGTCATACAAATACAGAACCGGCTACAAGAGTACTTGCACTGGCTATACCATAGGCTACAGGAGCACTTGTACTGGCTATACCATAGGCTACAGGAGTACTTGTACTGGCTATACCATAGGCTACAGGAGCACTTGTACTGGCTATACCATAGGCTACAGGAGTACTTGCACTGGCTATACCATAGGCTACAGGAGTACTTGTACTGGCTATACCATAGGCTACAGGATTACTTGCACTGGCTATACCATAGGCTAGAGGAGTACTTGCACTGGCTATACCATAGGCTACAGGAGTACTTGCACTGGCTATACCATAGGCTACAGGAGCACTTGTACTGACTATACCATAGGCTACAGGAGCACTTGCACTGGCTATACCATAGGCTACAGGAGCACTTGCACTGGCTATACCATAGGCTACAGGAGCACTTGCACTGGCTATACCATAGGCTACAGGAGCACTTGCACTGGCTATATCATAGGCTACAGGAGCACTTGCACTGGCTATACCATAGGCTAATAGGAGTAATGTCTGGATGTATTCACATGAACTATATTTCTTTCGCGAATTCATTGATAAACATGGAGAGTAAAAAGGACTGGGGAAATATCCCTGTCGAACACCAATATCACAACCAAACAGCTGTGAATCAGAATTGTTAAATTTAGCACAAGCAGATACGTCGTTGTAGACATATGGGTAAGAGGTTTTGGAAAATTCGTCTAATAATGTATACAATTTTAGATGCACGCCATATATGTGTTTGGGATTAATTGTTTTTCTTTTACTCAAATTTTCCTGAAAGAAACTGTTCACATTTAGTCAAGGGATAACAGGACTTGTTTTCTAAATACAGATATAAGGATGTAAGGAGCAGTCTTATTGGCCATGTTTACTTTACCATAGCAAACGGATGTTACAACTGGTTAAACGTTTGAGGCGGCCCTCACATACAGCAGTCTGGTGTTGACCACAGAGGCAAAACAACCATGGCAGCTGTCCTGAAACTGTGTGTGGTCCTCATCTGTCTTGGACTGGTGGAGTCACTCGGTAAGAAAGGCTTAGTCCATTTAGAGTCAGTAGGTTTTATTAATCATATTCTGAATTCATGAGGTATTGTGCGTAAAGTGTGATGACATGAATGTTTTTTTAAATATCGATGCCGTTAGTCGTATGATGGGTACGATAATGGCAATGACAGTGATGTGGACATGTTATATTTTGACGAATGAAAGCCTATCGGACATGTTCATATGACCGTCGATTCCTTCAGATTCTACGAGACACAACTTGAGTCAAAGATCATTCGTGTTCGTGTTTAAACTCTTCCTAAAAAGAGCTATTTGGCCACATTTATATCATGTAAGGGAGTAACGACTGATCTATCTATCGATGTATTGCATTTATTCAAGCCAAGATACCACTATCAATGAAACATACCAATGATCCTTAAGGTGTGTGTTGTAATGTGCTGTGCTGTGTTGTATATGTATGATTAGGATATGCGTAACGAAACACGTTTGGAAACTTAAGGAGGGAGGATCATGGAATAAAACTACACAAGTTTTGTGATTGAAATATTGATAGCATATGTGTAATTAACATAGCAACACACTACCTCGACGTTACGGAGAGCGCTTGGGCGTGGATTTTAGAGAGGGACTGAAGAAAGGACATACATTTGTTGAGGGTTACACCTTTCATTATGCTCAAGTTTGAATTGTATGTGAATAGTGATACAGTTGGTTTTGAACTGACTCGGTCATGTTGATGGCATCAATTCCAGTAATTGGAGCTTGTTGTGTTCATGAAAAATGACTACAAATTTCACAAAAGAACCCTCCATGACTGTTTTACTGCTAAAATCTGATATGCCAGAAAATGTGTGTTTCCTCAGATTTCGTGACACTCACGACACAATTCCCTTAGTGTTTGAATTAAAAGAATCTCATAAAACTTGAATAGATCTAAAATTGATGCAGTGTCAGGCTGCTGGATTCTAAGTGGGGGGAACACAAAGTGAGCGTGATGGCGCGTATGTTTGTGTGGATGTGTTTTGTTCTGTTCCTGTGGGTGTGCATACGTTTACATTATCTTATTTCCTTTCAGTCAAAAACACTTATAAATGCTACTGTGACAAGTGCAAAATAACGAAGAGTGTCTCATTCAAGAAACCGTAAGGCCACTGTTGATTATTTATTCATTTTTGTTGTGTTGAACTCTGTTATGCCGAAGTAATTGTCTGTCCAGTTCAGTTGAATTCCGTCAATCCTTTGACATTATTTGATCTCTGATCAGTCGAAGCGGAGGTTTCTAATTTTCAATTTCTTCGAACTTGTTTTGTGTCCCAAATAAAAATATCAAGTAACTGCAAATTTTACTTGTAAAGTCGTGGACACTCCACATCACATCAAAGGGAGAATGGGCCTGTAATAAATTCATCATTTTGTCTGTATTTACTTATAATTACTTCAAATGTTTTTCATTTACAATGACTTGACATGTTTATTGCAGTATATACAGATCAACTACGTATCGTCAAAGATATACCACCAGCTGTGGATTTTTGAGATGGGGAAGGTGTACCAGATACCGGTGAGATTGTAAAAATGGTCACTTGGAAATCATGTAATCAAATTCCGGGTAAGAATAGACACATAGCAATCTATGCGACTAAATGGATATAGTGATGGATCAGGTGTCTCGGTTGATTGCGTATTACCGTACCCCTTCCCAGACAGCGTGGGACGTTGTTTGCAATAACGAGCACTGGTTTGCCTGGCCAAGTCTCAGTTGTTTGCAGGTCCTCGTCACATAGCTGAAGTACGTAAGACGGCGTTAAACATCAAATGTAATTGTCCCAACTGAATGTGTTTAGCTTAAATATAATATAAGTCTTTCATCACGTGTTATTAAATTGCACGTGTGATTAATGTTATTCACTTATGAGCCATGCCATCGATTGCATCACGTGTTATTAATTCCAACTTGGTACATGTGAAATCGTGTAGAAAACATCTTATTCATTTACATTTTTTTTATCCTACAGAACCGGCTTTAGGAGAACTTGTACTGGCTATACCATTGGTTACAAGAATATGTTCGTGTCTTGTCGACTGGGTTGCAGGTGTCCAACGACGTTTTACTGAAGCTTCTGGAATCAAAGGCATCCTGAACCAGATCGTGAATACACCCTGCCTTGCCCTGTCACCTACATTCTCTATAAGATCAACATCAAAGTTGTAGTGCACTGTAGAATCTTAGAAAATATTTATACATGTAATTATAAAATGGTCGTTAAGACAACGATTTTGTGAAAGTTATTCCACAGTGTTCCCACATCAGAGAATCTCTAACCTACATGTACAGTCACCCAGAGTAGAAGACTTGTACAGTCACATAAAGTAGAAGACTTGTCATGTGTTTGTTTCTCTCTCAATATTCTTATCTTTAGTGTTTAAACAGCATATTGTTTTTTCTAGTTTCCCATTAAAAAAACTGCAGTATCACGTTCATATCGTGTGTTTGTCTAATTTCTGTATACAACAACACGTGCATGTTCCCGTACAACGCACCAAATCGCTATTTATACGGTGCTTCCCGGATGAACATCGATAATGGGTATTACCCGTCTCGACAAGATCGCCTCTAATTTGGCTATTGGATAGTAAATAACAGCCTGTAAGATCTTCACTAAAAGCTCACTCCAATATTCAAAATGGCCTATTAGGCTTTGGTACCTTAATTGTAATCATATGCAAACATATCATGATTTATTTTCCGGGGATTGTAGTGTTGTGAAGTACCAACGGCAACGTCATTTAAGTCGGTTCCTTTTTGTTTTGTGTTTTTAACGCCACACTAAGCAACAATCCAACTATATGACGGCGGTCATTAGCAATGGAATGCTAGTTTTGATGCTGAACCGCACACGGGCCACTTTTAAATTTGAGAGATCACATTTTAAGTCGGTTACACTGAAGTTTAGTATTATAAAGTGGGCCAGTAGGCCCTTTTTCTAACTCACACACTCAAAAGTGATTTTAATGCTCGCATAGCTGAATATCAGGTTTGAAGTGATAGTTCAGTTGTATTAGAAAAAGAGGTATGAGGTAGAGGTTATTAATGTCCGAGTTAAATGTAACTTTGGGTTTGCGCAATATATACAGATCTTAGAGATCTCCTGTCAGGTTAAACATACTTTCATGACTCAAATAATACACCACGCCGGAGGAGTGTCAATATTGAGCGGAATTTGCAGGCTCAGGCTTATGTCTGAGATTTAAGAACCTACATGTAGCATTTACTCCTCGTGACCTAGGTACAGTACCAGAATCGATGTCCCAGGTAACAAGCATAAAAAACAACACGTCCTATAGGTCTCACAGCGATTGTGTACATACAAACAGACGCACAGAAAAGTATTGTATGTACTGCCAACACAATACAGTTGAAGACAAGTTAATCTATGAGAAGCGAATTTCGTCAAGATATCGTACTACATTTACGTTTCTGTCTTACTGTCCTTTGTCAACGGGTATCTAAGAATAATTAACTTGTTTTCATCGCGATTTGGCTGTAATATTGCCGATGCGATGTAAAATATTAACTCATTCACTCACTCACTCACTCTTAATATACTGACGTTGCTTTTACATGGTCCCCGTAGTAGGCGTTCCCATCGTAGTAGTCGTCCCCACCCATTAGGAACGATTTAAGTCTAGTCTGCCGTATCCGCGTATTCCACAATACGACCCGTGAAGATTCCGGGGTAGAATAGGTCTTCAGCAACCCATACTTGCCGTAAAAGGCGACTATGCTTGTCGGGATCGGGTGTTAAGTCTCGCTGACTTGGTTGATACATGCCATCAATCCCAATTGCGTGGATCGATGCTCATGATGTCAATCACTGGATTGTCTGGTCCAGACTCGATTATTTACAGACCGCCATCATATAGCTGGAATATTGCTGAGTGCGGGGTTAAACAACAAACAAACAAAACAACACGTGGACAGACCTCAGAAAATATTGTATATTGACAAGCATGGCAAATCCGTTGACCGTGTGTATGAATATGGTGGTTGTCATGGTGACACTTCTCCAACAGACACTAATCAACAGGTCTGCCATTTTAAATACAGAAACCAGAAATGAACATATGAATGTTGAATTACGGTTTTAATGAAGAAAACAGTGCTACATTCTCAAGGAACTTTCATTGATTATTTCAGGGCAAATGTTATTATATTATGACACTGATCATGATTGATTCTGGATAATATTCGTTAGTCCATCAGTGAATCTTCAATCTATATCACACACCAGGGGAGGACTTTGTTAAAGTCTTCAAGAAATATCAATTTGGCACAAAGCATAAACAACCACTATGGTGGGATACAGACAGTACAGGAAACTAAGTAATTGCGGAGCATTAAGAAGCCACAGAGATCTGAGACATGATATTGACATTTATAGAGCAGAGAAAAAAAATAGTTTAACCAATTATTATTTACCTGAAAAACGAATACCTATTTTGATAAACAGAGTACATTATTATCGTCATCAAACTCTGAACCAAAACAGTTCTGGCGGCATAATGAATACAAACACTTAGAACGTTTCCAGATGGTCTAGTGTCTACATCTCGTGAATGGCGTTTACAAATGTTGATGCCGGAAAAGGGGTTTACAGGTGAGGGACAATAAGGCAACTGCTGAAAGTTAATGGTCTAGCCTGTAGTATGATTGTCATCAGATCATTGAGACCAAATCAAGGAGACACCATAGCGACTGTTTGTTTACACGCAGACATTTGTTACGTCGGTTAAGGCGTCGTTCAATGTCAAAGCCTGCTGTGATTTTGTTTTCATGTCGTTGTTTATCGGAAGTCGAAAAGTAAACATGATTTGTAAACAAGCCATCCTGGCGGTGAACTTTACTCATTCATACGCTGCTAACAACGATAGGCCTTATTTCAATCTATAGAGCCAATACATGCAGATATTGCGTGTCCACAATGGTGGGTCAGTATCTGAACGTGGTAGATAGTGGGTTTTTCTCTTTTGTTCAGTGGTTACGGGCATCACTGAGACAATACGTATATCCCGTCCACGGATGTACCCTGTCGTTGGTCTACTGCAGTGCAGCTTGTACAGTGTAGTCCCACCTCTCTGCTTGCACACACCCATCATATAACGCCAAAGACAACTCTCTCCACTGTGCAGCTTGTCCAGTGTAGTCCCACCTCTCTGCTTGCACACACCCATCATATAACGCCAAAGACAACTCTCTCCACTGATCTGCACCTTCTGCATCCCACAAACAGTGTATTCGGCTCTCTGAATTTCTTAACCAAACTCTTTACTTCAAGACATCCCAAATTTCACTTAAAATGGCACTTCTTATCCACGTTTAAATATTTGTTTAAAGAAATATGTTTTCAAGATAATGTTTGTGATCGTTCCCTTGAAAGAGAAAATAGTGCCACGTTTCGCACAGTCACCTCTTGGCGAATATAGACAGTTAGGACAAATAACAGCCGCTAGATAATTCAAGAGACTGTTCCATACAATGCTGACAATATCAAAGTGGCGAAGGACAATTTCAATGTTTTGTAGGAACTACTTTATAGGACGGCCCAGGGATACATATTTTTTATCATTAGTAATGCAGTTATTGCATAAAAAGACAAGGGAGAATTCCTTTCACAGAATATCCCCGAAGAGGTATGGTAGCTCACATGCCATTTGCATTGGTCTGGGGCGTTATAATGTTTCGTATAAAATATTTATTTTGGTATTCAGGGCCCATTATAGCACAGCCAACGTCCGATCATGTTCATATCCTTTAAGAATTGGATGACTTTAATGCAATTATTGCTCCCTTTGAACCTGTCACTGATTGCTCATTATCCCAGAGACTTTGTGCAGGTAAGTAATATGGAGGTTATATAGAGCATCACATGCAAGAGTAAATTGTCTTTGTAACAAACAAAAAACACTAAAAAATACTCCTACTTGTCATCTTTAATGACGCGAAATCACCCGTCATGTGTGAGAGCTTCAGTTTCCGTTCACTCTTTCTACCAGTGCTAATAAAACAATAGTGTAGTCGGCATGTCACAAACGTTTATAGTCATTACATGAGGAGGCATGTCACAAACGTTTATAGTCATTACATGAGGAGGCATGTCACAAACGTTTATAGTCATTACATAAGGAGGCATGTCACAAACGTTTATAGTCATTACATAAGGATAAAAAATAATACTGTGGATTTGTTTTAAAAACAAAATACTATCATGGAACCAACTACTGGCATTTGTCCTCGCGTTTCATCATAATATTCCTTCTTGTAAGATGCCTTGATTTTGTGGTACAATTCTGATACATTGTAACTCACTGGTGGAGAATCTTCAATGTTCTACACGGTGGAGACAATGTGGCACTGTTAGTAAACCTGCCAAGGCTTTAGCTCAGTTATTCCACAGCTGCAACTACACAATGGTGTGGTCACGTTGTTTTCAAAACAGCCTTTTCAGTATGAACAGACACTAACACAACCAGGCAAGTTTCAGCCTCTGTGTGTAACTCACGGATATTCCTTACTCCCTGGCATGACTTGGTGCAGTTCAGAGCTTTAATACCCAGAGGAGATGGCAATGTTGAGATATGCGGAGGCTAATGATGTGCATATTGACATTAATGTGATAATGGGGACATATTAATAGTGGGTAAATGTATATTTCGGACATGTGGCATATTGAATTAATACATGAACAAATATTTTAATCTATCAAGTTTTGTTTCATTGAACTGAGTAGCAGCATACACTCAGCTATGATGCTGACAGATTGGCAGATTTGCACATTGGGTTGATGATCACTGTAACCATTATGGCACAGCTAGTATGGTAAGACAAGCATGTTGGATAATCTGAGGGCACAACTAGGGGGGTTTGCAGAGTAGAGCAATGACCAATAGATATATCCAGCAGTATGGGTCAGCACTGTGTACCTGTACCCTGGTTATGTATTGACCAACAGATTGACCACCCTTGCCACTGATTCAACACTCCAGGTGTTGTGGATGCTGGTGTCAGTGTAGTGAAACAACTGTCATGTGGTAGAATATCCCTGACTTCATATGCTATTAGTCTCTGTGTCAGTTGAATGTCATCACCTTGACATGTTATATTAGGGTTACTGATATCCAGTGATTTGGGTGTTGGGTGTCTGTGACTGTTTGGGGGTTGGGTGTCTGTGACTGTTTGAGGGTTGGGTGTCTGTGACTGTTTGAGGGTTGGGTGTCTGTGACTGTTTAAGGGTTGGGTGTCTGTGACTGTTTGAGGGTTGGGTGTCTGTGACTGTTTAAGGGTTGGGTGATTGGAGTTTGTGTCCCTTCGACATGTTGGATAATGTTTACTGAGCAAAGTATCCTGTTTATTACATGCAGGTGAATAACTTTCCCTAATCTTTAAGTCTGTGGTCAGTTCAAATAAACAAACATGACATTCA